GGCAGGATGAGGAGAGTCCCCAATACCGAGGGAGCCCGGCGCTGGAGAAAGGTGAGTGTTTAATCCCTTTCCTCCACCTTCAGCCTAGCGGGAGGGTGGGGGCACCCTCAGGGCACTATAGTGCCAGGAAAACTAGTTTGTTTTCCTGGCACTATAGTGGTCCTTTAACGCACTATAAGGGTACAAAAATAGAAACCACAATAGGGCATTGAATAAGGGCCTAAACAAGTACTATATAGGCTTACTCATCTACTGATTGGTCCATGTCACCTCTGCAACTCCAAAAAATATGAGAATGGGGTTGCCAAGGTGATGAGGACATTTTAGGAAAGGACAAGATGTTTTGTAAATTATTTATATAGAAGTATGTGCCATTCAAGCATGCAGCATCCAAATTTGTACAGGAAGTTAGGTCAAGCGGGCAAGCGGTGAATTCGGCCCACTCGAACAGAGAGGAGTAGTAGTTTGACGGAGTTGGATGTGTAACTGATTTTTACATCAGACTCCACATGTCTATGGGGAGTGAGGCAGCATGGCTGAATGATGCATTTGGCCAGAGCGACCTGTTGGAGGAACAGGTAAATGTCATAATACTAGAAGTATAGAGCCACAGGCTACACAATGCACAATACATGATTAAGGACTCAAGGCCGAAACGTCATATCTTTGTTTTGTCACCTGGACCATAATTAAATATACTTCATTCTTCCCCCTGCACTATGTAGCCTGTGGCTCTATACACTTTGGATCTACATTGGGAGCTAGTAGATCTCCCCCACAAAGCTCCGGTGTATCAAGGTAATGGTGTGCAGTTCTTCACTACCTGGTTAATGTCATAATACTGTTGGCTTTTACTGCAATAGAATACACATATTTGTATGCTGTGATGTCCCATGAGAACGATACCCCCCATGTACTGGATCTATGGTGTTTTGAAAAGTTACAGGGTTAAAAAGAGCTTGTCCATTTCTGTTTTCCACATTAAAATTTTCCTGATTGGTTTGCTGGGCCTACAGGTGATACTTGAAAAATTAGAATATCGTGCAAAAGTTCATTTATTTCAGTAATGCAACGTAAAAGGGGAAACTAATATATGAGATAGACGCATTACATGCAAAGCAAGATAGTTCATAAGTGCGATGATTATGGCTTACAGCTCATGAAAACCCCAAATCCACAAGCTCAGTAAATTAGATTACATGCAATCAATAAAACAAGGAGTGTACATAGAACAATATCAGACCTCTGAAAAGTATAAACATGCATATGGACTCAGTACTTGGTTTGGGCCCCTTTTGCAGCAATTACTGCCTCAGTGCGGCATGGCATGGAAGCTATCAGTCTGTGGCACTGATGAGGTGTTATGGAAGACCAGGATGCTTCAATAGCGGCCTTCAGTTCTTCTGCATTGTTCGGTCTCATGTCTCTCAACTTTGTCTTGGCAATGCCCCATAGATTCTCTATGGGGTTCAGGTCAGGCGAGTTTGCTGGTCAATCAAGCACAGTAATCCCACGATCATTGAACCAGGCTTTGGTGCTTTTGGCAGTGTGGGCAGGTGCCATGTACTGCTGGAAAATGAAGCCAGCATCCTCAAAAAACTCGTCTGTGGAAGGAAGCATGAAGTGCTCCAAGATCTCCTGGTAGACAGCTGCGTTGACCCTGGACTTAATGAAGCACAGTGGACCAACACCAGCAGATGACATGGCTCCCCAAATCAACACAGACTGTGGAAGCTTCACACTGGCCTTCAAGCATCTTGCAGTGTGTGCCTCTCCATTCTTCCTCCAGACTCTGGGTCCTTGGTTTCCAAATGAGATGCAAAAGTTGCTATCATCAGAAAAGAGAACTTTGGACCATTGAGCAACAGACCAGGTCTGTTTTTCTTAAGCCCAGGTAAGACGCTTCTGACATTGTTTGTTGTTCAGGAGCAGCTTTACAAGAGTAATACAACATCTGAAGCCCATGTCCAGGATCCGTCTGTGTGTAGTGGCTCTTGATGCACTGACTCCAGCCTCAGTCCACTCCTTGTAAAAGTCCCCAACACTTTTGAATGTCCTTTTCCTGACAATCCTCGCCAGGCTGCGGTCATCCCTGCCACTTGTGCACCTTTTTCTTCCACATAACTTTCTACTAATGTGCTTTGATACAGCACTTTGGGAACATCCAACTTCCTTCGCAATTACCTTTTGAGGCTTTCCCTCCTTATGGAGGGTGTCAATGATGGTTTTCTGCACAACTGTCAGGTCAGCAGTTTTCCCCATGATTGTGATTCCTACTGAATCAGACTGGGAGACCATTTAAAGGCTCAGAAACCCTTTGCAGGTGTTATGGCTTACTTAGCTTATTAGAGTGGGACACTGAGCCTAGAATATTGCACCTTTTCACAATATTCTAATTTACTGAGATTGTGTATTTGGGGTTTTCATGAGCAGTAAACCATAATCATCTCACTTATGACAAATCACAGCTTGAACTATCTTGCTTTGCATGTAATGCGTCTCATATATTAGTTTCCCCTTTTACGTTGCATTAGTGAAATAAATGAACTTTTGAACGATATTCTAATTTTTCGAGTATCACCTGTATTTCGTCTTTGAGACGTATGGCAGCCCAGGAATGAGAATTAACCCCATCATTGCATACCATTTGCAAATGTAGATAACACAGGGTATTAAAAATTAGGTATGACCAGCCTTTTTTAGTGGAGAATTTGTCAAAAAATCCTGGCCAAAGTTAGAGTTTGTTTTTTTGCATTTTTCCACTCAAAAACTACACTTTCATTGATATCATATTTTACTGATCTTTAACACTTGAATTTGTGTTCAGTGATGTCTCCCCATGTACAGGTTTTATGCAGTTTTGGAAATTTACAGGGTCAAATATAGGGCTTGCCCATTCCAATCTTCATACCTGGAGATTTAAAAGTGATTTTCTGGGCATTTGAGATAGTATGGCAGCCTGGTAATAACATTTCCACCATTAAGGAATACCATTTTAAAAAGTACGCAACCCAGAGTATTCAAAATGCCATATTCTGAGATTTAGCCACTTTATCCCATTCTCCATTTAGTGGTTACACTTTTGTGCTTTGCTTTGTTTTTTTTAAAACACAAATTCCATTTTCACAGGACATATAATCCTGATTTGCATTCATGTAAAAAAGCAGCTTAAATATTTTACATAGTATTGTCTCACCATCAGTTCCCCTCATGTACTGTTTTTGTGACAAGGCCCAAAGTGTTAAATTTCCAACTTAGAAATTGGCATCTAAGTGCTTTACTGGGTCTATGTGGCCTTTGAGACAGCATGGCAGGCCAGGACAGAAAATTACCCCCACGCTGGCATATCATTAAAGGTATTTCAAATGGCATAATTTCAGTAGTTTGGTCTAGCCCAAGCATGTCAAACTTGTGGCCCTCCTGCCCTGGAGCCACTTTGTGCTGTCACTGGGACCAGCCGCCAGACAGGAAGGATCTTTCCAGTCTGATTCTTTTCTTCCCCAGAGCAGGCCAGACACTGCCCCTTCCCACTTGCTCCCAGTGCCAGAGGAGCATCTAACCAGGATGAACAGAGATTGAACTGGGAGGACAGGCTGCTTATCTTAAGGTAGGAGACATGGGCTTGGTGGACATTCCTGTGTTGTGTGTTAAATTGGAGAGAGGGCAATGTATTAGAAGGAAGGAAAGGGCAACAAATTTATTTAGGGAAGGGGGTGCAGTGTATTTGGGGAAGGGAAGCAGTATTAGTGGTGGTAAGGGGCATTTCAGCCTTATTACCAAACTTTCCCTTAATTGGTCAAGGACTGAGACATTTGTTATATGCAAACGCACGTCTCCTTAAAATTCACTCGTTTACTTTGAAGCCCTATGAGCTTGAGGACTTCTAGTGTCCGGCAACTTTTTTTTATACTGTACTTTGAAATTAAAGGACCACTATAGTGCCAGGAAAACAAACTTGTTTTCCTGGCACTATAGTGTTAATACAGTCCCTCCACATTTAGAGTCCCACTCGGCTGAAGGGGGAGCAGGGGTTAAATACTTACCTTTCTCCAGCGCCAGGGCTCCTCGGCGCTGGGGACTCTCCTCCCTCTTCTGACATCTGCTGAATGCGCGGCAGGAACCGCGCACACAGTCCATGGGAAAGCATTTCTCTATGCTTTCCTATGGACGCTGGTGTCTTCTCACTGAAAATCAGCGAGAATGAGACAGAGGCTGGATTAACCCTAATGTAAACAGTTTCCTGCTATGTTTACACCAGGCAGGGTTAACCCTAGATGGACCTGGCACCCAGACCACTTCATTAAGCTTTAGTGGTCTGGGTGCCTATAGTGGTCCTTTAACCTACATTTCAATGGAAACTGAAGTTTGATTTTTGTGGTCCACAAACTTAAACCTTGTTTATTTGGTCCATGTTAGCCTTTGAGTTTGACATGCTTGCTCTACGATGATTATGCAAGCAGAGTTAAACAAATTTATTTTGGCTCTGTCATTTTAGTTGTGATCTCTGCCTTATAAAAAAGTGATGAGTGGCAATGACAAGGTGTCAGCCAATGTTCCCACGATTGCAGTCATTGGCTACAGAGGGACTGCGTGTTGCCTGGCAGCGTGCAAGTTGTCATTTGGGATTTTAAACAATGTAGACTTTAAACACCCTAACAGCCCACTATAGCTGTAATGGAGCTATGAGTAACATGGCATCCAGATTAGTGAAACCAAGTCAAAATCTATTTAATATATCTTCACACTGCTTAAAGTGTCCATGCAATTCCTCTGCTGCTTCACATGGAGAGTGCCAAGCCTGGCAATGTAGGGCTTTGCTTGAGAGAACTTCAGCAGCTGCTTAGGAGTTTGACTCCATATTAAGTAGTGGAGGTGAGTAACCATGCTTTGCAAACCCCAGGTAAGCAAGTGAGTGTCTACATACACAGCATGTTGCAGTGTTTATGGTGCTTTTATAAATCCTCTCACCTTCAACTCAGATGAAGCCAACTTTAAATACAATTTTAGCTTAAAGGATACAACCATGAATTATGTGACAACCACAACTTCTACTTTCAGTGTTTGTTTATTCTACCAAGCGCATTATTGCACATGCAGGAGCTGCCCACATTCATTGGAGATCACTTGTCAAGTGACTAAGCTTTTGCACACATTTGTTTCTCCTGCACTTTTAGAATCTTATGCCCACTGACATGGTTTCAGACATTTAATTTTGCAACTTTTATGAGCTATTCCACTAGCAGGTTGTTCTTACACCCAGACAGGTAATTGAAAAAAGATCATGCTTTAATTCAGATTGTATCAGAAGATTAAAGCTAGAGATGCACCGAAATGAAAATTCGGGGCCGAAACAGAAAATTCAGGATTCCCTTGACCGAAAACCAAAAATTACTTTTTTCACCAAATGATATAAAAAAAAAAAAAGGTTTCCTATCATATTATTAGATTTAATGAATTTAATCCAATATGAATAACTTCCCTTCTCCCTTAATGTTCCTCTATTTTTTAGATCAGCAAATTTGACCCGTTTTTGCTCTGGGCCAAAAACTTGAGCACATCCCTAAAACCACAAAAATCCCGACAAGTTTCTTAAACTCCAAAAAGGTTTTATTTTTTCCATATATTACTTCTGTGATGGTCAAAAGAAGCAGCTCTAATTCTGGCCTTTCAGCCTGAATTCTATGTATGACATGCTTAATCTTCTTCCTCATCATCTCCACCTCCAGCACCGGCCTGGCCCTTCTTGGCATTCTTTCTCTTGACACGTCCAGGACGTCCACCTCCGTATGGTGAGCGCAGGGAGAAGTCAATGTGTTTCTGAGAGTCCAGGCGCACAATAAAGGATGGAATGTTAACCACTTGCTTGCGGACACTAAAAGTTAGAAAATACGAGTCAGAACACCACATCTTTAAACAAAAATAAATCCCATTTGCTATGCAGAAATCTTTAGCCAGTTTAGACCCCAACATTAAAGATACATCTGTCAACCAAAACTTAGAACGACAAACAAAGCCTTAAAGCATTAGACCTATAAACCATAATTGCAGGCCATAACTAGCTTTCTCAAGTCAAAGAATATTTAAATATGTACTGAAATTATGTTCTGTTCAGGAAGGCCTAAAATTACTACAAGGACAGCACGGATGAGTGGATACATGACTGGTTGCCTCTTTTAGACTTACCTCAAACCATTACTGAATGTAAATTAGACGTGAAAAGCCTAACAAGATTCTTTAGGCTATTACCCGAGCAACAAAATCAAAAGAAAGCTACACATTGCAATCTAATTTCTCATTTGAAGTCCATCTGAAGACTTGTTAAAACAAAAGAATTCTGCTTGTTTTGATTTATACCAAGAAGCAGTTTAGTATCGTTACCTTTGCTACAGAAAAACTAAACTTGTATTTGCCAGGCAAGATGGCCAGCATTCAAGATTGATGTATACCCCTTCACAAGGTGTATGGACCAAGCCAAAGTGACCTTGCTGAATATGTCCACAAAATGGACTCAATGGATCACATGTGTATGGAGCAGGCTTAGGTCACCATGTTGTTTTCGGTCTCCATATGCCCTGCACAGTATACGAGGTTCCATGTGCTAATTAAGACACCAAGAGACAACTTTAGGAACATTAAACAAGGGAACATTTAATTCAGGACAGCAAAAGACAATATTGCCTTTCAGATGTTAAAATGTGGGTTCAAAAACAAGTGAAAGCAGTCAATAGTAGGTCCACAAGACTCTTATCTCATCATTGGATCAGAAACAAATAGATTAGGGCACGTAGGGGTTACAAATTCTCACCAATTAAAACTAGTGTTCTAAGATTCTGGCAAGTAAGATAACTGCAGTCATCACAAACCTGGGATAGTTTTAGTTTACCAAAAGCTTCAGTGTACATGCAATTAACACTTACCGGATGTGCCTCTGTCTGATCAGTACACGAGCATGATGAATAGATTTGGCCAATCCCAGTTTAAAAACTTGAGTCTGCAAACGACGCTCCAAGAAATCTTCAATTTTCAAGCCCAAGATGTAATCGAGCTTCATTTTGCCTTCATCAAGCACACCAATACGCACCAGTCGCCTAAGCAGGGCATTACCTAGAAAAGAAATCTTTAATTGGTACCATTTTAAATCTACACTGTCAACCACCCCAGAATGACATTTTAGGAATGGGACAACTTTATAAAGGAGGAAGCAATCTTGACTAGTTTAATAACTGAAATTACCAGTAAAAACTGAAGACTTAGAATACACAAACTGGTATTTTCAGAGATTTATGATTTCACAATGCACAGATTAAACCTAATCAGACCAAGCATCTTACATTACACAAAAATGTGAACGCTGTAAAAGCATTAGATTGGCAGTTTACAGCAATTGCCATGCATGTGCTATAGGTCTGCGCGATATATCAATCCTAATAATCTGCTGTGATTAGACTGACCAAGAACTGTTCAATAATTTTAAAGGCTTTTGTACATTTCAAAAGTGGAGCCATAAACCTGAATGAAATTACTGAAGTGAATATTTGTTGTGCACTCTTCAGTCACCATTGTATAAACTTCACTGCACCTAATTATTCTCTCATACCAATTAACCCAATTCCTAAACTGATGTACCTTCAAACAAACGCTTGGGATCCTTTTCGTCCAGCGTAAGCAGCTCTCTGGCAGCTTTACGGATCTTGGCAAGAGTGAATTTCACCCTCCACACCTCACGCTTGTTACGCAAACCATATTCACCTGATCAAAACAAAGTCTGTTAACATTGCAACTTTTACAAGACATAGGTGGGCTAAGATTTTTATTTCTGTTTACAGCTTACCAATGAGCTTTAACTCCTGGTCCAAGCGTGACTTCTCAAATGGACGTCGAGGAGTGACGTATGTCTTTCGACAAACCCAAGTTCTGGCAACGGGCATCTTGGTTTATGCCTTTAGACAAAAAGAGGAAAGAAGTTGTTTAAAAGGATCAGCGTTAAAACCACAAGTATTAATACTTTACAGCTAAACCATATACAAATTTAGATTGCACTTTCAATGTTAGCCTCCGCTGGCATTAACTTTGATAGACAAAATGTTAAAGACACTAAAGGCACCCAAATTGCTTAATCTCAATCAAGTGGTCTGGGTGCTATGCAACCCCACTTCAAGTCTGCACCTAAAAAACCCGCCATTCTATAGTTTTTATTGCAGATTTTAAATGCTTCTGCTGGTTATCAGACAGCCAATAGAGGCACAGTGCAGTTTCTAGCTGAGCATGCGCAATAACGTACAAAAGCATTAGATTAGCTATAGTCCTATAGACTAAGCTTGTTTGAGCAGGGTCGTCTTCAACCTATTGGTCCTCTTTATAGTTACATCTCCCATCATAATATTGTAAAGCGCTACAGAATCAGTTGGCGCTATATAAACGTCAATTTAATATAGAGTTCCTTTAACAGCCAGCAAAAATGTAACGTTTCAGAAACATAACATTCTACATAGCAGCTCTGTCATGCAGTAGTGTGGGACCATGCACATTCCGCACCAACAGACTAGCGCACAACTCATGTTAGTGTAGCAGAACTTACAGCAATAATGAGCCATTTAACAAACAGCAGACATTAAGGTGCACACATTCACTGTAAGCCTAAACACCGCCCCTTCACAAGTTACAAAATAAAGTGACAAAAGACTGAAGGTTAGGAATTTTTAATATAATTCACAAGAATTTAAGGCAACTGCCTGCCCTCAGCATCCTTCGTTACAATCATAACTCCCATCAATCCAAGCATATCTGTAATTTAGTTTAAATTCTAATGGATCATTGATAAAGCTCTGTAACTTCACACAAACTCTAAGTGCCCTGCAGTCATTCTATTCCTGCCCGGGATAATTCCAGACACTGGGCACCGCTACTGCAGCCAGGGGGCGCTGCTGGGCACCACGCGCTTTAATACATAGCTACAACACCGGCCGAAAAAAACCCAGCGGCACTCCCAGGCCGCGCCCGGCGGGGGTTTAACGTTTTAATAGATTACAGCCGGTCCGGGTCACTCCGGATTGTCAGCCTCGGAACCGAACCGGCCAGAGAGTGACCGAACCGGCCAGAGAGAGTGAATTCCGGGCCATGAGCCCAATGCAGGCTATTAATCCCGGTACACGGAGTATGTAATCAGTGCCAGCAGCTGTACAGGGAGTATGATCCATGATCTAGTTACTAGCCAGTGGCCGGTAACCTAGGCCGCACATAGGCCCTCATTAACATTCCGCCTCCCGCAGAACCAAACTGTTACCTACCGGGCCGCCGCGCGGAAAGAGAATCCGAGGACGTGCTTCCCTTCCTTATATAGACTAGGCAGATCACGCCCACTTTACGTGCTTTCATGGGCCGTCCCTCTATGTTCTAAGCACTAGAGCACGCACGGATTGAAAGTGTCGCCAGAGCGAATGAAAAGACGCTTTCAAGTGTTGCCAGTTGTGCAGAGCAGCCATTATTTATCGCTGTGCTTTGTGCAACGTGTTTATGGCTCTCTAGGGTTGCAGTGATGTGTTCCTGGACACATGACATGCTGATGGGCAGAACACAAAAAGTGCTGCCTGCTCCAAGTGGCTTTAATGGCTAATGTAAATCAGTTACAGTGCCAGCTTTATTGGTTATATTAATTACATTAGAGTGCAAGCTTTATTGGTTATTAGGAATGGACTAAAAAGTCCTAATTGGGAGAGTTAACATAAAATATAGGGAAGGGGAACCCTACCTTTAATAGTCCTAAGAAAAAAACTGAAATATAAAACAGGACAGAGAGACAAAAAAGTATAAGTATAATGTGTATGTATATGTGCACATACGCAGATACCTATAAATGTTCAGCTAGGTTAGCTAGCATAAACGTAGCTACTAGAAAAGTCTAAACCTATACTGTACACTGTCCCAGCAAATGGACAAAACACAGGTATAGCTAGAGGTGAAGAATATTAGGGCTAAGAGAAAGGAGCCAAATACCCCTATATTGTGTGTTAAATCTCCCAATTAGGACTTTTTAGTCCATTCCTGTTTACTCTGTATATCGTGGGTTATACACCCAATCTCTGGGAGAGTAACATTGGGCATATCCTGGAGCTAGTCCATTAGCCCCTATTCTCATTGGGACTCTTGGATCAGCACCTGTTTCTTCTTTATTCAGTTTCTTTATTGGTTATTAATTACATTAGAGTGCAAGCTTTATTAGCTATCTGAATTACATTAGAGTGCAAGCTTTATTGGTTATCTGAATTACATTAGCATAGGTGTGCGCAGCCTATTGCATTAGGGTGTGCACCCTAAAGCACAAACACACGCCGCGTGTGTGTGTGTTTGTATGTATGTATCTATATATATATATATATATGCATACACTGCTGTGCGTGCTGTTAGTGTGCTGTGTGTGTGAGGGTGCTGTTAGTGTGATGTGAGGGTGTTTGTGTGTGTGTGTGTTTGTGACTGTGCTGTTTGTGTGTGAGGGTGTTTGTGTGTGTATGTTTGTCCTGTGAGGGTGATGTTTGTGTGAGTGTCGTGTATTTGTGAAGGTGCTGTTTGTGTGTGTGTGTGTTTGTGAGGGTGCTGTTAGTGTGCTGTGTGTGAGGGTGTTGTGTTTTTTTTAAAGGTGCTGTGTGTGTTTGTGAGGGTGCGGTTAGTGTACTGTGTGTGTGTGAGCTGTATGTGTGTAGGTGCTGTATGTGTGTGTGCTGTATGTTTGGAGGGATATGGCAGATTAGTAAATCCTTGCTGCCATGTGCAATCCCTAGTGGTCCAGTGGAGAGTGAACTCTAGCCTGCGGGGCTAGAGTTAACTCTCGCGAGATCTGAGCATTGCCGCAGCAACGCTCAGATATCGCGAGAGGAATCTGGCGAGTCTGTCTAGAGCTCCCTGGGTCCTCTCCTGCCTCCCTCCATGCTGCTGTGGGCCGGTGAGGTAGATCTTTGGTCTCCCCGCCGGCCCATGGAGGCTTATAGCAGAGCCGGCACTCAGATAGCGCCGGCTCTGCGTGTGTGTGTATATATATATATATGCGTACACACACACACTCAAGGACACATTCAGACACACACACACATACATACACTCACAGACACACACACACATTCACAGACACACACTCACACAGACACACACACACTCACAGACACACACACACTCACAGACACACGCACACACACTCACTCACAGACACACTCACACACAGACACACACTCACACACAGCCACACTCACACACACACACACTCACACACACAGACACACACACACACAAGAACAAATGATTATATTTTAATAAAAAAAAATGTCTACCCAGCCTCCTACCTGGAGTGCTGGCGTGGACTTGTCCCTGGGGTCCAGTGGGTCGGGCGCCTCTCTCCAGCTCAGCCGCGGCGAGGGAGCTGTCTGCTCTCTGCTTCCTCTCGCCGCGCGGGCTCTCTACAGTAGCTGGGTCATATTCCGGCTTCCGGCATCAGTGCGCGGCGAGAGGGAACAGAGAGCAGACAGCTCCCTCGCCGCGGCTGAGCTGGAGAGAGGGTGGGATCCATCACCTCTTGCCCCCCCCCATGACAGGGGCAAGAGGTGAGACAGGGGGCGCTGAGTGTCTGCAGGAACAGCGTTCCTGCTCAAAAAAAGTGCAGGAACGCTGTTCCTGCAGGACTCAAACCATAGGCGTGCTATGGGGATTAGGGTGTGCCCAGGCACACCCGGCACACCCCGTGCGCACGCCTATGTACATTAGAATGTGAGCTTTAGCGGCCATAATAGGTGGATAAAGAGGGATGCTTAAGACTTCTGTCACTTTGTGTCAGCAACATTGCTTCTGGAAACTGATGCATTCTGTGAGCTAGACATTACACCTCTACTTTTCCAGCTTGAATAACATTGATGTTACATCCCGGCTCTCGCTAAGAGACAGCGGCTCCAGAGTGAGTAGGTAAAATGCACTCCGAAAAAACTGTACTCAGTAAATTTGGTGTGTGCTTTACCAACTGCTGTGTGCTGGACAAGTTTCTTTGGATTTTAAGTCAGTTAGTTGTGAAGCCAGAGATCACTTTTGTACCATCAGAGGAATGAAAATATAAAGAGGAATGCGCTGGTAGCTTCTATATACCTAATGCTAGGCCAGCGTTAAAAAAAAAAGCTTATTGAAAGAAGAGATCGAAGTGAACATGAAGTGAAAAGGATAGCCATTGTTTTTAAGCATTTACCTTGATATTTGCCGGTTACATTTCCCATGGTGCCCAGTCAGCCATGCTTTTGCTTATTTCAATGCCATGTAAACATGTAGACCACAAAGATAAACAGTCAAGGCTAATCATTGTTTTGGAGTCCACATAGGCCTATATGTTAGGACAGTAGACACCACAGGAGAAGCTGAACACAGCTGGTCTCTGTCTCTTCAACTACAGGGCGAATGAATGGTGCTGCACAATACAACCTAATAAAAACAAAGAGAACGTTATCTGCGCTCTGGCCTAAATCCCATGTACATTTAAAAAAATGGAGGCTCTTTAGTTTTATTCCAATGGCCATTTGAATATATAAGCTCACCTGCCACGTCAAGGCAAGCCTCAATAGGTGAGTTCCTACACTCGCCATTAGATATACTATCAGCCCAGAATCTCTTATAAAGTCTTAATAAGACAAATGTGGGGAGGCTGGCAGCAATGTAACATAGCTGTGTGATACAAAATTCATATAAAAACACAAAGATAAAGCACCGCGCTTACAGCAGCAGTAGCTTAGTATCCAACAGCTTAAAATACATAGTAAAAACAAAGAGAACGTTACCTGCGCTCTGGCCTAAATCCCAGGGCCACCATCAGGGCATGACAACCGTGACAATTGTCACAGGCCCGGCCGCCCTGGGGGGCCCGGCCGCCCGGGCCCCACGTGGATCAGCGGAACTGCCGCCGGTGCATCTGCACCGGGGCCCACACGCTGATGGGGCCCATCAGGTGGCCCAAGCATTTAGGGCCACCCAATGGGCCCTATTATCTTCAGGGGCCCGATCAGCGCTGTAATAGCGTGACAGGGCCCCTTTAAAAAATAAATTTAAAAAATGCAGCCGGAAGCAAGTGCTGCTGGGAGGAAGTGACGTCCGGTCACTTCCTCCCACTTTACTCTGCGCGGGAAGGAGGACGCAGCCTGAGGAGAGGCAGCCGATGCCCATCAACCCCAGCCACCCTCCTGCGACGAAATGGTAAGGAAGAGAGGAGGGTGGCTGGGGATGAGGTGTATGTATGCAGGGCCGGTGCAAGGATTTTTGCCGCCCTAGGCAAAAGTAAAGTTTGCCGCCCCCCCCCCCGTGACATCACAATGCCCCACCCATATGACCTGCCATGTTAACTAACGCTAGTGCTGCAGTGCTGCAGTGCCGCTGTGTTTACATTAAAAGGCCTGCAGGGACAGGCTATAGACACCAGAACCACTACATTAAGCTGCAGTGGTTCTGGAGACTATAGTGTTTCTTTAATGTGAGGTAAATTAGAGATTAGTGCCACGAATAATATACTAGATTACCTACTTACAAGCAGATGGGGATGATGATGATGGGCTCTAGCTGCAGTCTGGCTCCACTGGTCTGGTGTATAACAGGATCTCTGGAGGCTGTTTGTAACTGTGGTCACAAAAATCAATGTTCTGGGAGAACGAGAAGCAGCTCCATTTTTTGGGGGCCCTTTACACAGCTCATGGTCTGGGTCCCAGGGTCCACCTTCATGTTCCACCAATGAGTTTGTTCACAGGGGGTGGAGTGTGTAGGGGATGTCCTGATTTGTGTGTAAGGAATGCATTGTGTGAATCTGTGTTTGTATGTGTAAGGGCTGCAAGGTGTGTTTCTGTGTATGTAAGGGATGAAGTGTGTGAGTCTGTAAGGGGTGCTTTGAGTGTGTTTAAGGGGTGCATTGTTTAAGGTGTGTGTAAGGAATGCATTGTGTGTTTCTGTGTGTGTAAGGGATGCATTGTGTGTAAGGGTTGCATTGCGTGTGTGTGTGTGTGTAATGCATTGTGTAATGCATTGTGTGTTTTTCTGTGTGCAAGGGGTTCATTGTCTTTGTGTGTAAGGGGTGCATTGTGTGTGATTGTGTGTGTGTGTGTGTGATGGATGTCAATCTCTCCCCCCTCCCTTGTCACTCTCTTCTCCCCCCCTCCCTTGTTATTCTCATTCCCCCTCCCTCCCCTGTCACTCCCCCCTCCCTGTCAATTTCTCTCTCCCCGTCAATTCCCCTCCCTGTCAATGTCTCCCCCCTCCCTGTTAGTTCCCCCCCTGTTAGTTTCTTCCCCCCACCTCCCTGTTAGTTTCTTTCTCCCCCCTCCCGTCAGTTTATTTCTTCCCCCCTCCCCTCCCGGT